AAAGGGGCTGAAGCCCCCCCCCCCCCCCTCCTCTCCCCAAACCAAATAAGAAACTACATTCCTGGTCATACCCCAGTATGCCCATGGACTTCAGTGGCTCATGTCTGGCCAGGTAGGATCACGGCGGATCAGGGGGGGGGGGGGGTTGTCGTGTCATGCAATGACATGACACGTCCGCGCTGCCGCAGACCAGTCGTTCTGGGCCAGTTGGCAGCTGACCGCTATCGATATGGTCTGGCGAAGCAATGCGCTGTCGGCGGGCGCGGTTTCAGTGACCGATACAAGATAAAGCAGCGATGTTATCCCTCGGTCACAAGGGCAGCTAATCTCAAACAGCACCAATATTTGTCACTTTCCCGCTCAGTCCGCACCAAACACGGAGGCTAATTAGTGTCTCGCCACGAAAAATAAACTTATTGTCTTGTTTGGAGTGTCCAGAAACTTGAAATGGAAAGCTTATCTTGTCTTAACCTTTGTTTGTGTCCACGTTTTTGGTAGTAGGACAAGGAGCTGCACTGAATGTATACACGATTACGATAACGGATAGGGTATGCTTTGAAAGGTCTGCGCTATAAAAAGTACTTTGTATCGCTGAAATGCTCGATTTTACTTCAAACATCCGCAGTTCTCCGCTGCTGTCATCTGCAGTCTCCGCTGATGTCTCTGTGTGCCCCATCTGCAGTGGTCCGCTGCTGTCACTGTGTGTGCCCCATCTGCAGTGGTCCGCTGCTGTCACTGTGTGCCCCATCTGCAGTGGTCCGCTGCTGTCACTGTGTGCCCCATCTGCAGTGGTCCGCTGCTGTCACTGTGTGCCCCATCTCGCCGAGAGCTTACCCCTCTAAGCTGGAGGGGGGGGGGGGGGCTGGTGTCGGTCGCATGCAACATGGGCTGCCGCTAATGGCTGCGCGCTCCGTCAGCATGTGCACCTGCCTGCGGGGTGTGCCCGGTACCGATGTATCTGCCGCCCGTTTGCGATGTAGCCTCCTGTAAAGCGGCCTAATGCGATTTGTGTTGATCTGTCCGAACCGCTGGCAGACCTGACCGACTGGAATGACTACCTTGTTAGCTGAGCACGAGCGAAGCGATGTTGCATTAAGTTTCCGCATGATCGGCAGACGGCATCACAGCCCTCGATTGAGCATTCAGCACGCGCCGGCGCCCGCTGTGGTTTGCCGGGGCTGGGTTGCTGGCGCCTGCTGTGGTTTACCGGGTCTGAGGATGGCTGGCGCCTGCTGTGGTTTGCCGGGTCTGAGGATGGCTGGCGCCCGCTGTGGTTTGCCGGGTCTGGGGGTGGCTGGCGCCCGCTGTGGTTTGCCGGGTCTGGGTTGCTGGCGCCGGCTGTGGTTTGCCGGGTCTGAGGATGGCTGGCGCCCGCTGTGGTTTGCCGGGTCTGAGGATGGCTGGCGCCCGCTGTGGTTTGCCGGGTCTGTCGTGTCTGAGTAGCGTCATCGTCCCGCAGCTGCCAGTGTTCCGCTACCGGGACGAAACAGATTGATATACCAACGGACTGTGCCGAGATCCAAAGCCCCCGGCGCCTTTGGCCGGCGACGCGCATTGCCGCACGCTCTAACGTGTCGGCCGGGGCGCCGGTGCTGGTGGCGGAGGTCCTCCTTCTGGGAGGGGGGCCGTCTGGCGCTGTGGACCTACGTGTTCCAGCTCGAGTCCACGCCTGACGTTGGCATGACATGCCGTGACCTGACCTGACCTGGCCGGGCCGCTGCCGGCATTGATCAGAGCGGGCCGCGGCTGCGGCGGCGGCGTCGGCGGCGACCCGTCGGTCGGACCGGCCGGTATTGATCAGGCGGGTCGGGCGGCGTCAGTGTGCGGCTGACAGCGGACGGCGCCGGTGCCGACCTGACGAGGTCAGGCGCCGCCGGCGGCCCGCACCTGGCGTGTCCGCCGACGCCGAGGCCGACGGTGAGTGCGCCGCTGGCTGGCCGGTCCGCGCTGCCCCGCGACGCCAGATGAACCGCGGCCGCCGCTGTCGGCGCCGACCCAGCGGCCGCCGGCACGTGGGCGGGGCGGTCGGCTGGCTCCGGCGCCGGGAGTCGCACAGACGGCCGCTGGTGTGTCGGCATTCGGACGGATGTGACCGTTGTTCGGGGCGGTCGGGCCTTCCGTGGCCAACAGTTGTCCGTCGGGTTGGAATTAGATCAAGGGCAGTTGTGTTTTGCTTGTCCACCCGGGTGTGACAAGCCATCTGCGATATCTTCCCAGATGTGTCGCTTTTTGCTGGGCGGTATGGGACGATGCCGGGGTTGCCTTTTTTCAACGACTGCCCCGTGCCAGCGATCGCAGGCATGAGTTTACAGAGAGACAAGCTTGGAGAAATGTATTTGTCAGCCTTTGTTGGTCCACTCGTGTGTGTTTCGGCCCGGTTGGCGTTCAGCACGTTTACCCCATGTCGGTTGTCGAAATGGGGTCCTGGCACGTGTGCTGGTGCGTGCTCGGGGAAAGCCCGGTGGCGATGAGGCGGAGCTCCGATTGGAGCGGTGTGTGCGGGACGGTACAGACGCGCGTGTCGGTGGTGTCAAGCCGGCGCCGGCCACCGATCGGTGCGGCCAACAAGGCGACGCTGGCTTCGGCGGCGGGCCGGCGTCGGGGCCGGCTCGCATGTGTCGCCAGCCGACCAGCTCGCGCCGAGGGCCGCCGCAGTCTGCACCGTCGCAAGCGGCCGCCTCGGTCGGCAGTGCCGCAGTGTCCCGCCGGCCGACGGTTCTCGCGGGTGCGGAGAGTGTCGCGGTCGTTGCCGTTTGTCCGGGGATGGGGCGCGGTCGGCTCGGCTGGGCGGTCATCCGCGGAGGGCCGTCAGCTGCCGGCGTCGGCGCTCGGACGACAGCCGCCGGACCCGGCGGGCCGAGTCAGCCGGCAGGCCGTATCGATTGCCAGGCGGCTGCCGCCGTCTCACCGAGAGGCGACCGCCGCACGGCCGGCGGCGTCCGTCACCGGCCGCCGGTACCCTGTCCGCCCCCCTCCTCCCCGCCCCCCCCCCCCCACACACACCGGGAAGCCGTCTCAACCAGCGCCGGCGGCCGTGGCGCGCCTCGGAGCGGCCGTCGGCGCCGTCGCGGTGTGCCGCCCGCCGCTGGAGACGGCCTCGGTGCCGGCTCCGGCGCCGGGCAAGCGCGGTTGTCAGCAGGAGCCGTATTTGTGCAGCGCGGGACGCCGGTGAGACGTCACCGCGCCGTCAGTGGCTGTCTCCCGGTGTGGCTTCAGCGCTGCGGCGCCCATCACCGCTCAGCTCGCCCGTCGTGCGCCCCCCCCCCCCCCCCCTCCCCGCCTCATTCTGGGGTTACGCGCGTTATGTACCCGCTTGTCAGCCGGGTGCGGCTGTGGGGGAGGGGGGGGGGGGGGCGAGATAGCTGAGCCAGTCGCCAATTACCCGATTAGCTGGTGTGGACATTTGTAAATAGTGCACGCCGCCATGCCGCCATAGGGCGCGTCGGTGCGGTGATGATTTGCTGGGAACTACTCATCAGATATGCTGGTGCTGGGACCGCGACTTGGTCAGGCTGGCTGGTGCTGGGTACGTGATCGGATGCGTCTGCTGGTGCTGACCCGGTGTCTGATTCGGTCGAATGCTGCGGGCTCTGACGCGATATGAGGGCGCGGAGCTGATGTGGCCGGCTGATGCTGATCAGTCCGGATGAGGTTGAGTCAGGACCGGCGGTGGGGCCGCTTAGTGGGCGGCGGTGCCGCTTAGTCACGCTCTGACGAGGTCGGCCGGGGGTGCCCTCAGCCTGGCCGGGGCAGCCGGTGCTCAGTCGCAGGCTTCCGTGGCAGATGCTACCACTGCCTCCCCCCCCCCCCCCCCCCCCCCGGCGGCTCGCGGCGGGAGGCCAGGGCGGCAACCAGGCGCCGCTGTTAGTCAGCTGGGCAGTTTTTGCCTCGCTCTTGTGTGTACGAGGCGGGCTCTGTGGAAGCGTGCACAGGGCGCTTTTTCCCCCACTTGGCGGCGCGTGCCGTGCTGGATTCCGGTGCGCCGCCGCGCTCGGTAGCTGCTTCGGACGAGCGGACGCTGCGCGGACGGCTGCAGCGGTGACAGCGCGGGCAGGCGCGCAGGCATGCGCGCGCAGCCGCCGGCTGATGACGTCTGCAGCGCACGGTCGGCGGCGGTGGCGGCCGGTGCCGCTGGCCCAGCTCCAGCGGCTGCCGAAACCGCGTCGTGCCGCTGTCGTCGAACTGTCAGGACGGGCGGGACTGAATGGGCCCGTTGACGACACCCGCGCCTCCCGGCCCGCTTTGTGCGGCCGCCAGTGACGTGGCCCGACGGCCAGAGCGTGGGCGACGGCGAGTACGGCGGCGGGGTGGCGCCAGCCGCTTGTTGGGACACGTGGCGCGGCAGGCTGGCGGCGGCGCGCGCCGGGCCCGCCTCCTGCCGGCCGCACTGGGGCCGAGGCGGCCCGGAGTCAGACCCCACCTGAACGGGGCCGATACTCGGCGTCCACGGCCGACCGCAGTCCTGTTGTGTCCGTTGAACTGAAGGTAGAGGAGAGCGGAGGGTGAGTGAGGAATCGCTGTGGTCGCCGTCGAATCCCGGCGAACCTCTAAAGGGACTGACCGCCAGACTGGCTGGCTATTGGACCGCGCCGCGGGCACCCGAGGCCACCAAACGACTGCGCCTTAGGTCCTCGCGAACCGGACAGACTCTGCCAGCCTCCCGCCTCGTGGCCCGTGTGGATTATGCGGCGCGGATGTTCGGCAGGCTCTGTCTGCCGGGTCCCGCTTAGGCCATGTTGTAATTTTGCTGAAATCCTAGGCCTGGGTAACGAGACCGTGCGTAACATGTGTGGGTATCCGTGATGCACGTTGTCTGGTTGCCCATGTGGTGCGTGCTCTGTGGTACACAACACCAACATTCCCGCACACAGCAGCGTATCGCGCCGCCGGACTACAACATGCCCCACCCTTGAAGGGCACACGATCAGCTGGCGGCATGCTCAGTGGCTGGTGGTCGCAATGGTGGCAGCCGTGTGACCGATTCGCGGCTCTGTCGGCAGATCCGTCCCAGGACAGCCAGGCGTCGTCCCCGGTCAACAAGCGGAAGGGCCTGTCCGGGTGAGTGATGCCGCGCCGGCGCCGTACCGCTGCCCTTGGGGGCAGGGGACGCCCCCGACTGTCGGCCGCACTGTCGCGCTGGTGCCGAGCTCACAAAGTCCCCGGTGGTTCACGCTGCTCGGGCAGGTTTGCACGTCCTGTGTGAAATGACGCCAGTCGTACTGTGGACACGCGTCGTTCCCAGGATGGGCTGTGGCCATGTGCTGCTCCCAGGATATGCTGTGAACGCGTGCTGCTCCCAGGATGTGCTGTGAACGCGTGCCGCTCCCAAGATGTGCTGTGAACGCGTGCTGCTCCCAGGATATGCTGTGAACGCGTGCTGCTCCCAGGGTGTGCTGTGAACGAACGCGTGCCGCTCACTGTTTGAGTCTCGGTCTGTGCGGTGAACGCGTGCCGCTCTCTGAACTGGGCAAGTGTGGACAAGTGCCGTCATCGGCTTGAGTATGGACATGCTCCGCGGGACATGTCCTCGCTGGTCGTGGCTGTCGGTGACGGTTATTCTGGGAGTGACCGTCGGTGACGGCTATCCTGGGAGGTTCACGTCATGTCTGATGGGGTCTGTTCCCGGCATTCCCTTTGCTGAGCGTTGCCGTCTCGTGCATGACTGCGCAGGGAATGTTGTGCCAGATTTGTTTGCTATCGTCTGCACTGTGCGCTTACCTGGTCTGGCGTTTGAGACCTATGTTGATCAGTGTCGGCCGGTTGCTTGTGGAGATTCTTGTTCACAGGAGCGACTGTCTGGCATGGTCCGCGAGCCATTCGCCGACAGCATTCTTGAATGCGGTTACTTAGAAGCTGATTATTTACGTTACGGACGCTTCATTGTTTGATATCTGTTTATGTGAGATTGTCTCTGTCAGTGCGTCTTTTTAAGACTGAACGCAAATTGGCCATCGTCGACCGCGCGCCCCTAAACGAGACTAACTAACCAGTAACCGCGCTTGTAGGTCGTGGCTGTCCCATTGCACGGCAGGTTTGCGTGTCCCATTGTTCCACAGGTATGCCCCACAGGTGACTCTCCCTGCTCGCGCTGACCGCTCACACGCGTCCGTCCGTCGGTCCGCTTCAGCCCGTTGTCTGTCGTCGCCAATCGTCTGTCAGCCGGCGGTGTGTGGCCCCCGTCTGTCGTCTTCTGTCGTCTGTCGGCTGGTGGTGTGTGATATCTCATCTCCGGTCGTATGCCGGCCGGCAGTGTGTAGTCTCGTTTTCTGTCGTTATTTCCTGCCCTCTGTCGGCCGGCGGTGTGTAGTCTTTCGTTGTCTGTCGTCTCCTGTCGTCTGTCGGCCGGCAGTGTGTTGTCTCATGGTCTTGGGTCGTCTGTCGGCCGGCAGTGTGTAGTATCTCGTTGTCTGCCGTTGTCTCCTGCCGTCTGTCGGCCGGCGGTGTGTAGTCTCTCGTTGTTTTGGGCCTGCTTTCGGCCGGCGGCCCCGGCTGATCACCTAGTGTTCGGCCGTGTCTCTGTCATCGATTGCCGCCGCCACCGCCCGAACCTGTTGCGTTCACGGCCGGCGCGGCTCAGAAGGTCAGACAGGCATTAGCCGATCATGTGGCCGAAAGGCGCGCGCCTGACTCTAGATCGATGTGACCACTGACCCCGAGCGGGACTGGGCCGGTCGGCTCCGACCCACCGCTATCCAGCGTGCGCTGGCTTATCGGTGGTAAGTGTCCTGAGCGGCCAGTCGGGCCGCGGCTCGATGCCGGACCGCCGCTGGCGGCGTGAGCGGAAGCCGCGACCCTTCAGCGGCGCGCGCTCGGTGCCGTTCGGTCGCCGTCTGCCGGTGGTGTCCGTGCCGTCGGCGCCGGTGTCAGTGCGCCGGGAGTAGACCGGGACAGCGGCTGGCGGCGAGCTGTGGGTGGAGCGCCCGCCGCTCGCCGCCGCATCGCCGATTGGCGGTGCTTGATAACGCCCGCGAGTGCTGCTGTGAGAGCGTCTTCGATAACTGTGCTGCAGCGCGACTTGGGCCTGAACACAAGATTATCCGGGCGCGCGCGCTTGTCGGTGTAGCGGTGTGTGTGTGTGTGTGTGTGTGTGTGTGTGTGTGTGTGTGTGTGTGTGTGTGTGTGTGTGTGTGTGTGTGTGTGTGTGTGTGTGTGTGTGTGTGTGTGTGTGTGCGTGTGTGCGTGCGTGCGTGCGTGCGTGCGTGCGTGCGTGCGTGCGTGCGTGCGTGCGTGCGTGTGTGTGTTTGGCAGTGCGACCCTGTGAGTGCGGCGCCGCGCGCCGGCCTCGCCGCACCTGACGCCGTCCTCCGCCCCGTCCGCAGACGTAAATGGCTGCCGACGCCGCTGCGCAAACTGTCGCACAACAAGCTGACGGCGGCCAGCGGCGCGCTCAGCTCAGGCGAGCTGCCGGGCGCGGCCGGCCGCGCGCCGCCCAAGCCACCGCTTAAGAAGACCAACTCGGAGCGGAAAGTTCAGGTCAGTCGCCGCCCGTGACGTGACGTGACGTGACGGGCGGCAGACGGCGGCGCGCGGCTGGTGCCGGACCGCGCCGCAGTGCGACAAGCGGCGCCGACGGTACTCCACCAGTGTCGTCAGCCGTCCTGAGGCTGGGCGCGTGCGGCGGTGCGCCTGCGTCCGCCAGCTAAGCTGCAGGAGCCGGCGGCGGACGCCAGACGCCGCGCGTTTGCGGCCGGCACGTGCGGCGTCCGGCGGTCTCTGCCCCGTCCGGTCGTGGGCGGGCCGGTGTGGTCCGGTGTGGTGGGGCCGTCGTGAGGTGTGCCGACTCCCGCCGACTCGTGTCTGCTGTCCGCACCTGCCCGGCTCGGCGTGTTTCAGACCCCGTACGTCCGCACCCCGAATCCCCAATAGCTCGTTTTTCTGCTGCGAGTGAGCTATGTGTATGTGTGGCGGCGAGAGAGAGAGAGAGAGATAGAGAGAGAGAGAGAGAGAGAGAGAGAGAGAGAGAGAGAGAGAGAGAGAGAGAGAGAGAGAGAGAGAGAGAGGGAGAGAGGGAGAGAGAGAGAGAGAGAGAGAGAGAGAGAGAGAGAGAGAGAGAGAGAGAGAGAGAGAGAGAGAGAGAGAGAGAGAGACCTGGTCGCGGCTTCCTGGCTCGGTTCCAGTCGGCCGGTGTGTGCCTGGGTGCGCGCCGCGCGTGCGTATCCACACGTGTGGGCGGTGGCACGTGTCGTCCGGCCGGCTGGCGCCTGTTCGATTGGTACGTGCGGCGGCCGCGACCTGACGGTACTGGTAGCGCCGACTGGTGTTGAAGGACCGTGCGTCACGCGGGCCGGGCGCGCTGTTTGGCCCGCTGGGGCCGTTTATCGGGAAGAGCGCTGGCTGGCGCCGCCCGCTCGCCCGCCCGCCCGCCCGCCCGCCCGCCCGTCCGTCCGCCCGGACTATCGGGTGGCCGGCCCGCTGGTGCCGTGCGCCGTCCGCCGTCTAGAGGCCACGCCGCCCGGCCGCGGGCTCTTACGGCTGGCTCTGCCGCACGCCGGCCAGTCTCCGGAAATGGGCGCCGGTGCGCAGCCCTGCGCCGCTGCGTGCGCGGAAACCGGGCGCCAGACGTCCGGCGAGGTATGGCCGGCCGGAGCCGCCGCAGCGGGTGGGCCCCGCGCTGGTGTGATGGCCGCGTCTGCCACCCGAGGCTCACCGCCACCGCCGCGGACCCCGGAGTCGAGTGCCGGTGGAGGCGGGGCGGGGTAACGCCCGGCGGTGCGTGACCGCCGCGTCCCATGGCGGCGGTGGCGGTGACGGTGGCGATCGGCCGCTGCTCCCGGCCGCCCCGGGAGGGAGCGCATGACGGCCGGCGCTCGGCGCCCCTGCCGATCGATGGCGTGCGCCGGCGGCCGGGCGCGCCGGTCAGCCGGCCAGCCGGCCGAAGGCGGTGGCGGCGGCGGGGTCTCGGGCCGCCGGTCGTCATGACTACTGGTCGCTAATGGCTAGAGGAGGCCGCGCTCCGGCGGATTGATTGGCGCCATGTGCTGGCCGCGCCAGACACGCGCACACCCCAGCGCTCACCCGGAGACGCATGCCCGCCGGTCGGCCGCGACACCGCCTGTGACGTGCCGGCCGCCCCGGCGGGCAGTCCCCGGCCCGCCAGCGGACTGGTCGGCTGTTGTCCCTCACAGGTGTATATGCGGGGTGGGGGCACCCCGAACCGTCCCGACGCCTCCAAGCAGACAGAGCTCGCTGTTTGACTGGGGGCTGCAGTTCTCGAGCGAAACGCTGGTGCGGCTGCGAAGGCATTCGTCGGGACGATTCCCACCGGGTGTGTTTGGCCGCTCGCTCACGTAAACCGCCGCCGGTTTTTCCGCGGCGCCGAGTGCGGTCCGAGGGCCTCGGGCTGCGGCCGTCGTTACGCGGTCTGTGGTGCGGCGGCCTTGTCCGAATCTGCCGGACTTGACGGCTGACTGGCGTGGTGACACGTGGCGCGGAAGGGCGGGAGTGGGGGACGTACGCCCCGCCCCCCCCCCCCCCGCTCATGTGCTCATATGACGCGAGCGTGTCGCCGACGAACCCCCGGTTTTGGTCGCGGTGCTGGAGCTTGGCGGCCAGCCGTGGTCTGGTTCGTCGTTCGAACGCCTGAAGGGTGTGCAAGGCGGGCGTCAGCTGGTCCCTGCGGGGTCTCCTGCTGGGCGACGCGCGGTCAGTCAGCGACGGCTGGAGCGGGCTGCTGTGCCGCCTGTCCTCTCCCGCCTCTGGCCGCGAGCCCCTTCCCTTTGTCACAGCCCCTCCGTATGTCCATTCGCACTGTCGATGCCCTGTCGACGGTGCGACCGTAGACGCTTGATTGGCAATGGTCCCAATACGTCCCGAGATCCGGCTGCCCCGCTGGCCGCCGCCGGTGGCTGTCGCGGCTCTGCTCGGCTCGGCGCACTTCGGCCCTGGCCGCAGCAGTGGACGGGTCGGGCGCCGCGCCGCCCCGTGGCCGGCCGTGCGTGTGCCGTGAGTCGGGCTGCCGTGCCCCCGCGCGCCACTGATGAATTGATGGCGTGCACGGCGCCGCCAGCGGTCCGCAATTGCCGGTGGCGTGCGTGGGGTGGGATCGGTTAGCGAGGGTCACGGTCCGCCGGCACGCGTGGCGGCCGGCGAGAGTGGCTGGAGCGAGGCAGAGCGGCGGCGCGGCGGTGTTGTTGTGTACCGACTGTCAGACCCATCGCCCGCGCCGGCCGACGGTCACGCCAAACACAACGGCGGCCGAGCCAAGGGCGCCCGTCGGAGGCGGCGCGGTCGTGCTCGGGCGTCTGGGCCCGTCACGCCGCGGCGCCGCCGCTGACCGGTCTCCGGCCGCCGGCCCGTCAGCCGGCGCCGACAGCGTGCGGCGGCGGTGGCCCGCCCGCCACCCAGCCGGCCGCGCCGCCCGGGTCAGGTCGACGCGACGGCCGCCGGCCGCCGGCGACGCGCCTGCCGCCTGGCGGCGCCGGCCGACGGCGGCGCCGCGCCGCCGGTTGGCGCCAGTGCGTGGAGGCGGGAGCGCGCGGCCAGTCGCATTGTGGGGAGCGCGCCTGGACGCCCATGGAGGGGCCGCGCAAGTCCATTACCGAGTTTATGCACAAAGTGAGCGAGCGCGTCGACATGTCGGGCCTGCGGCGGCGCTGCTCGTCGCCGCTGCGCTCGCCGCCGGCCGATCAGCAGCAGCGCGCGTCGCAGGGCTCGCCGCGCGGCGACTTCATCTGCCGCGAGCTGAACCAGGCGCTGCTGCACATCCTGCTGCCGGCCGTCGAGTCCGAAGTAAGCGACGACGCGCTACCCTCAGCGGGCGGAGCGGCGCCGCTGGGTGTGCAGCTGCAGCCGGTGCTCGCGGCTATCGCGTTGGCGTGCGCCCTCCTTCCGCCGGCGGCGATGGCGTGACCCGCCACTGCGCCGCGGCTCCCGCCCAGAGGCTGGCAGAGACGGGCTGTGGCGGGGCCGTTGGATTACCCCAGGGCGTCGAAAGCGCGGCCGACGCAGACTTCCAGTGGGCCAACTGATCAGTCGCTTAGGTGATCTACGCCTGGTGTCTTGGCAACATACAGCAGTTGAAAGGTGGATTAATCGCAGACGTCGTTGCATGTCATGGTTTTTGCGACGAACCTTATTGCTGGCAGTGTGGTTACCTGTTTGAAATACTTGGGAGTGGGTGATGTTGCAGACGTAAAAACGAGACACTCGCGACTCTTGACGATGAGCAGTGCTTCAAAACGTCGAGTGATTTCAGTCTAACCAGTGGTTGCTCGATAACGTCTAACCAGTACCTGCGGGCATATTTAAGGGACATTATTTTCGTCATATAACTCGCAGTTCATATTTTCTTGTTTCACATATGCATGCTGCGTCGCAGTGACGCAGCGGCGTATTAGTGGCTGAAACTGAACTGTTTCCACCAAGTATGGCTATGTGGTTGCTGAGCTTCTCAAACCACGGAGTTTGCGCTTGTGTCTTGGGAAATTGGCTTCCAAGCCAGTCAAGAAAGTTTTCAACTTGGACAGCTCACCCGACCCGGTCGTGGCGCTTGCTGGAAGCTAATAGTTTTGCAACCACGCATCGCATATTCAAAGGGCTCTGGGTTACGATAAGCGTTGCTCTTCAAAATCTGTGTTTTGTGGGTTATTAGGCATTCGCTTGCCAGCTGTTGAAACAGTTCAGCAACATGGCGCTATCGCCGCAGCTTCGCCTCTCCATTGGAGGAATGCGTGAAACTCAATGTTTTCAAATTGCAAAACCAGGTTTTGCAATTTGAAAAAAGGTTCAGGTGGCCATGGTTAGAAGCCGGGTCCAGATCTAGGCAGCCCTGCGACGGAGCCCCACTAGATTAGGCCTAGGACGCAATTGTGAATCATATTCGCAACAGTGCGAGTCGATGTGTGCAAACGGTGACGTGCTTTCGTGCGCAAGCCAGGGATCAGTCCGTTTTTGGGACGTTTTGAAGGTGTGGGCCTAGTCTGGCATCTGTGTCAGATCTCAGCAGCCATAGGTGATACAGATGTGAAGTCGAGTGCGTGGTGAAGAGATAGCACCTACTACAGTTACTATGCTCAAGTTCTATAGGTCTATATACTATAGTTCGATGCTATAGTTCACCCCCATCACAAAATTTCCCTCTCCTGGGTGCGCTGGTCTCAGTCCAGGAAGCGGCCAGTGTTACCTTTTCTGAAATTGATCTTGAAAGACTTACGCCCTGGCGTGAATGGCAAGAGCGAGGAGACATGCAAACTTGACAGGTGGGCAGGCCGGCGCATTACTGTCAGTAGCCACTCGAGCATTTCCCTTTTCGTGATCATTCATTTCCTTTTTGCAATGTTTTGCTCACAACCACCTTAACCGTAAATAATTACAACTTGATCCATGTCTTCGATTGGCGTTTGCAGGGATGGTCGGCCTGGAAGCCAACCGGTTTTCAGGCAACGTTATTCATGAATTGGCGCGAACGGTTACGTCATCGGACCTCCGCGCGTTAAATCCCGTTTACCGTCAGGCTTTCCAACGCGATGGTCCGC